GGGCAGGACCTGAGGAGAAACCCCTGGAATATTCCCGACCCGGCAGCCGCACTGAGCTCGGTGATTGGCTGAGGAGGGAAAAGGCGGAGCTTGATGAAAAACTATAAACACAGAGCCGCCCTCAGAGAAACGGCGAGCCTTGAGAGAGCTAGTAGGATTCGTGTGGTTGGTGAGCGCAGCTTCTGCAGACACACTCTTTGCGAGCACCACCCCGAGCGGCACCGGCGCGTTCAGTTTTCGGAATCCGAAAGAACCGAGCTCCTCGTCACTGAGCTCGTTGGCCGTTTTCAGGTCTGAAGTTCGTTGCGGAGCCGAGAGGACAGGACACCGGCATGGCGAAAAGCACGGCCATTGGCATCGACCTGGGCACCACCTACTCCTGCGTGGGGGTGTTCCAGCACGGCAAAGTAGAGATCATCGCCAACGACCAGGGCAACCGCACCACCCCCAGCTACGTGGCCTTCACGGACACCGAGCGGCTCATCGGCGACGCGGCCAAGAACCAGGTGGCGCTGAACCCACAGAACACCGTGTTCGACGCGAAGCGGCTGATCGGCCGCAAGTTTGGCGACCCTGTGGTGCAGTCGGACATGAAGCACTGGCCTTTCCGGGTGATCAACGACGGTGACAAGCCCAAGGTGCAGGTGAGCTACAAGGGGGAGACCAAGGCGTTCTACCCCGAGGAGATCTCGTCGATGGTGCTGACCAAGATGAAGGAGATCGCCGAGGCGTACCTGGGCCACCCGGTAAGCAACGCGGTGATCACTGTGCCGGCCTACTTCAACGACTCGCAGCGCCAGGCCACCAAGGATGCCGGGGTGATCGCGGGGCTGAACGTGCTGAGGATCATCAACGAGCCCACGGCTGCCGCCATCGCCTACGGCCTGGACCGGACGGGCAAGGGGGAGCGCAACGTGCTCATCTTTGACCTGGGCGGGGGCACGTTCGACGTGTCCATCCTGACGATCGACGACGGCATCTTCGAGGTGAAGGCCACGGCCGGAGACACCCACCTGGGTGGGGAGGACTTCGACAACAGGCTGGTGAACCACTTCGTGGAGGAGTTCAAGAGGAAGCACAAGAAGGACATCAGCCAGAACAAGCGGGCCGTGAGGCGACTGCGCACCGCCTGCGAGAGGGCCAAGAGGACCCTGTCGTCCAGCACCCAGGCCAGCCTGGAGATCGATTCCCTGTTCGAGGGCATCGACTTCTACACGTCCATCACCAGGGCGCGGTTCGAAGAGCTGTGCTCGGACCTGTTCCGGAGCACCCTGGAGCCCGTGGAGAAGGCTCTGCGCGACGCCAAGCTGGACAAGGCTCAGGTCCACGACCTGGTCCTGGTGGGGGGCTCCACCCGCATCCCCAAGGTGCAGAAGCTGCTGCAGGACTTCTTCAACGGGCGCGACCTCAACAAGAGCATCAACCCCGACGAGGCGGTGGCCTATGGGGCGGCGGTGCAGGCAGCCATCCTGATGGGAGACAAGTCTGAGAACGTGCAGGACCTGCTGCTGCTGGACGTGGCTCCCCTGTCGC